CTCGCTCGGGGGCCGCTCAGTCGTGCTGCGGCCGAGGCCCGGAGCCCGCGCCCCAGCCGGTACGCCCGCGCCCCCCACGCCAGCCGGCCCCGGCCTCGTCCCGCGCCCGCCACACGCTCCGCTCCGCGCCAAAAGAAGAGGCCCGCCCGTCGAGGAGGCGCGCTGCCCGCGCGCTCCAGACGCACAGCCTCGCGGCCGCAACCGAGTGCAGCGGGCGGCAGGTGCGGTGCACGGAGCGGGCCCCGGAACTCAGCGCGACAGAGCAGGTGAGTGACTGGGTGCCCGACTGCCTCTGCGGCCCTGGCGCCCCCCGCGCCCCGCCACGCCCCCGCCCCTCCGCGGGGTCACGGGCCGGCCGGGCAGAGAGCGCGGGGTCTTAGCGGCGCCGCCGTCAAGGGCCTCCCTTCGCGCGCGCCCACGGCCGGCCCGGGCCCCTCTCCAGGCGCGCGTTTGGACTGTAAATATTGGCGCCAGGACTTCGCGCGCGCTCGCTCGCGCCCGCCTCGGCGGCCCGTCCCGTGCCGTCCACGTCCACGAGGGCGTGTTGACCGCCGGTCTTGACCTACCTTGTCCGCGTCGTCCCTCTGCTCCCGCCTGCAAGGCTCTCCAGTTTGGACCCGCGCTCCGTTTGCGAGCTCTCCTGGCCGTCGCACACACACACACAAACACACGCACACACACAGGCACACACACACGCCTGGCACGTGTGTGTGTGTGTGTGTTGTCCTGACGGCCCTTGCCGCCGCTCCCGCCCCGCCGCCGTGTAGAGAGTGTTTACCAACAGTTGTGTGCGCTTGTTAGTGCTTCGTCGCTGTTGATGTTGTCCTGGTGTGTGCGCGTCCCCAGTCGTGCGTGTGCGTGCGTGCGTCTGTGTGCGTGCGCGCGTGCGTGCGTGCGTGCCCCGAGACGGAGGCCAGACGCCGCGCCGCCGCCGCCGCCGCCGCTCCTCGCCGCCACCACAAAGTGGCCGTCTCCGGCGGCCCCGGCGCGCGAGGAATGCGAGGCAAGGGCGTGCCGCGCGCCGCGCCGTCGGCGAGCTCCACGCGCCAGCCCCTCGCTCCTACCCCCTTCGTCCCCACCCCTCGCCCCTATACCCCCTCGCCGCTACCCTTCACACCTACCCCTCACCCCTACTCCTCAAAACCTCGTCCTGCTCGCGTCCGGTTGGGCGTATCGTCTGGGAGCGCGCGTCGTCGTGCGTGCGTGCGTGTTTGTGCCTATGTCTCCCCCTGCTGTTTGTTTACTTCGGAATGAGGTGACGTGACGTGTGTGTGTGTGTGTGAGGAGTGCGGGTTTACGTCTGATGGGTCACGTCCTCTATGGGTCACGTCCTGTGGGTTACGTCCCATGGGTTATACCCTATGCTATGCACGATCTCGGTTACGTCCTGTGTGGGTTACCCCATCTGGGTTGGGTTACCCTGTGGGTTACCCTATGTGGGTTGAGTTTTCATATGGATCATCTTTTATGGTTTGGGTTATCCTATATGGTTTGATTTATCCTATACAGTTTGGGTTACTCTATGTGAGTTACCCTACAGGTTTATCTACGGGTCACGGTATGGGTTCCCGTACGAGTCACTCTATAGGTTTCCCTATGGGAGCCGCCGCGCCCCTCGCCTGCATGCTGAGCGCTCCTGCCTCCGCTGCCCGCTCGCTTCCGCTCTGAATATCATCCCGAAGGTCGCGGCCGCGGTATAAAGCGCCGAAGCCGTCTAGCGCCCTCGCCCCCGCTCGCCGCTCGACCAATATGTGTCGAAGAATCTCTTTGGGCTGCCGCCGCCGCGGCTATATCGGGTCCGGGCCCGGGGCGTGCGACACACGGGGAGACTCTTTATATTTAACCAGGGCGGCACGGCGGAAGGAGAGGAGAGCAAAGGGGACGGGCCAGAGGCGGGAGGGAGGAGGAGCGGGCGTCGACATTTCGCAAGCAGGTGACGGAAGGTCACTCCTCTCGACCGGGCCTCGCGCGGACGCGCGCTGCCCCTTCCCGTCCGCCCCGCCGCCGGCGACCCTTCCCCGACCCATACGCCCCGCCACGCCGCGCTCTTCCCCTCTGCCTCTTCGTCTGTTGTAATGTCAGCACAGGAATAACTTATGCCTATATGACCCCGCGGCCCGGAGAACGAGGGCTCTGTCCCGAGCAAGAACTGTCCGTCCATCGGTTTGCTCGCCTCGAGTGGCGACTGTCTGTCTACCGCGTCGTGTAGTGGGGCTCAGAGTTAGAGAGATCTAGGTTGCGCTCAGGAGGCTGCACGGAAAAAAAGAATTTGCTCTCACAACTAACGATTTAGTTAACATGGACATAACAAACAATTTTAGTTGCAGGAGCAAAGAATTTGCTCTGGGAACCAAAATTCTGCTGTCACAACTAACGCGTCGCTATGGTAACAAATGCGTTTGTTGTAAGAAAAAATCAACGTTTAGTAACCAGAACAGTTGCAGTTGTTACCATAGCCGACCATAGCGACGCGTTAGTTGTGGCAGCAGAATTTTGGTTCCCATAGCAATTTCTTTGTTCCTGCAACTAAAAATTATTTGTTATGTCTATGTTAACAAAATCGTTAGTTGTGGGAGCAAATTCTTTTTTTCCGTGTGTAAGCTTCAAATCACTTCACACTCTCACGCTACCATGCTAATAGGCACACACGCACACACGCACACACACATACACACGGCCCCAACGACACACACACACACACTCACGCGCACACACACTTAATTTCAAAGTTTCGCGGCCAAGGGCGAAAGGGTTGGATAAAGTTTTCACCTCGACACGCTCGCCGCCACGCCGCGCCACACCGCCACCTGACACTGACGACGTGTCCAAACATTTTGATCAGCAGCCCTTCAGAGTTTTCGCTACCTGTGCTTTTACTCGCAACGCCTCTTCTGCAGCACCGCGTGAAATCCGTTTCCTCCTCACGTAAGAAGACGTCGCATTTTATCTTTTTCGAGCACCGATTTTGCGAACATGTTTATGTTTGTACTGAGGACAGCAGGGGGGGGGACGATCCTGTACCAACCGGTCCTAGTATCGCACTGAAAGATAAAAATACGTACAGTGCGAAGGACATGTTACGGTCAAAGTGACATGTTGCTGTCTCAATAAGAACTGTTTGTTGTACCACAGTCCCTCGTCCTACGAAGAAATGTACTTCATCTTAGCCGAGTCACTCGGTTAGCAACAGAATATTGTTCTCGGTAGCTTC